TTTCTTAAAAAATAAATATACAAACATTTTCAGTGGATTACAAAAATAAATGGAGAATTAAAATTTAAAATTTTAAAAACGTATTTAGTTTTAACAAATGATTTTTATTTAAAGATTACAACTCTAATTATATTATTAAAATATTTTTTATATATTTAATAAAAAATTATTTCCTTGTTTTTTTACATTTAATTTTAAGATCTCTTTTATAAATTGTTAAAATAAATTCTTAAAGTGAAAGTGTTTTTGGAAATAACTGAATTATTGTAAATTTACTGTTTAATTCTTGAACTACAATAATCAATAGGTACGGAAAATGATATCTTACTATGGCAATTGGTCATAAGATATTAAATACTATTATTTGGGTAAACTGATTACTGATAATTTTAACTGGTTTTGTATAAAACTGGTCTTTAAAGACACTAGAATAAAAGGACATTTTTTGATTCTTTCAACGGCTGAAACCAACAGGGACTTGGGATCGATTGTTATTGTGCAATTCAATTCATACATTTAATTTCAAGTTTTTTTTACGAATAGAAATTTATTTCTTCAAATTTGGAGAATTTCGCATTCTATCTCCTACTTCCTCCATTTCGTAGAGAATCTGTTGGATCGAAAGATTTGTCCAAAATCACTGGAATCTCGATTTTCTGCATCTTGAAGAATCTAACGGAGATGTTCTTAGGGGTCATTTACTAAACACTTACATTGATAAAAAAAAAAAAAAAAACTTACTCATTCAATTATCTTACTAGGTGAACATAACAATAATCAAGAATCTTACCAGGTAAAAAGGGAAGACAAGGATCGATAGCCTTAACTGGTAAGTGATGGTGATGACTCTTACCTCATAAACACTTACTGGGTTTTTAAGACGCTTACCAACAATCTATTATGATGACCGATAAAGTTACATGATAAGATAAGTGACAGTGATTTCTCTTGCAGGTAAACGCTTACCGGATAAGTGTTTAATAAACGACCATTTAACTTTTTTTTTTATTTATTCATACAAAATCAGATTTTTTAAATAATTTAATAAGAAAACTACTTCATTTTTAAAAAAATTAAATACAATAAATATGTCAAAATTAGGAAAACACATTTGGTCAATGCGACTGTAAAAACGATTAGACTCCATTGATAACTACATAAACCAACCAAATATTCAATCTTACACTTTCACAATTTTCACATATATATACAAAAGGTGACAAGGATCTTACTCATAATAAGAATAATATATTATTTAACTCATGTACTTATTAGAGCTGTTTATGGGTGGGACGACCTGTTAGACCTGGTCCATCCGACCTGCTAGAAATACGGGCTTAAACAACCATTATCGAGAAAATGGACGGATGTGCATATATGAGAAAACAGTCTGATCTAACGTGAACCCTAAGTGAAAATAATTATAAAATGGGTGCATGATGAAATGGGTGCATGAAGAAAGTGAAACCATTTTATAATTGATAAGAAAATGTTGTGTAATTAGCGAAGAGTGAAACAATTTCATTATTGATGAAATTGTTTCATTTTTTTTTAATTTTCTTTGGATGATTTTATTCACTTAATGGTTAACAAAGCGTATAATGGTAAATGCATTGACGCTATGAAACGTGTTCGGATTGAAAAAAATTTGCCGATGAAATTGGTGCATAACGAAAGTGAAACAATTTCATAATTGTTAAGAAAATGTTGTTTAATTAGCGAACAGTGAAACAGTTTCATAATTAGATTGAAACGGATCCATCTACCAATATATTACATGAACATGACAAATGTCTCATCTAACATTACGTTGATTTGTGTATTGATTAAACTGTGAAACCATTTCGTTCATGAAATGTAGTAGTAAATTTTTTTATTATTATTATTCAAAATGTTTCATTATGTTAAGTTGATTATAGTGTGTTTTATTTTTATTGTTGATCTATTTTAATGATGGATGTAATTTTATTTATAATATTTGAACATAAAATTAATATATTATTTTACAAATGATTTTGTTTCATTAATATTACGATATATATGATATGGTTGTTATTAATATTACCATTACCAAAGTTACCATTTTACCCCGGGATTATAAAATATTTATTTATTTATTTTAACGTGACCACCTGATTCTGAGTTAATGAAAAAAAAGTGTGAATGTTATAACATTTATATTCATATACTTATTGGGCCTTTTACATGCAGCCCAATTCTAAACCAACAAACCATGAATTTTAATATTATATTTTTTTAATAATGGATAATAGATTATTAGATTTAAAGGTTGTTTGTTTAACTCTTAATAGTTTCATTAAGAGACAGCTTCTGAATCGTTAAGAGGCGAATTTTGTTTGGCAAAAAAAAAATCTGTCTCTAATGGTTCTAAAACCTTCTGGATGATTTTGTATCTTGGATTTCCCTTAACAATTCAGCACCCTAATTTCATTCTGAATAATTATTAAACAATTATATTTCATTTTGTACTATATTATAAGAGTCTACTAATCATTTTGACCACTTAATCATTTTACACCAAACCATGGATGGTACCGAACCGATCCAATCATCCATTAGATTGAATCAGTTATCCAATGTTAATCGGATTGGATGACAAAATTCAACATCCAATGGATGATTGGATTGGTTCAGTTCCTCTCAAATCCAATAGATGTCAACCGATGAACAGCCCTAGTTATCCATTAAAGAAAAAGCGGGATCATTAACATTAAAAATTCGAGAAACCAGTGTGTTGTAAGTGCGGAAAAATAGGACATTATGCCAACAACAACTATTATTTTCAAATACCAAAGAGTCTTTAGCCTAACAGTATATGAGTCCTTAGCCTCCTAAGAGATCAAGGGTTCAAACATCACCAAATGTGAGGAATGTGTGTGAGTTTATTTATTATATTTTCCGTATATAAATATTATATATTAAAAAAACTATTATTTTCAAAATTTTAAATAAATATAATGTTAATTAATTAGTTGGACCTATTTTTATGTGGTTTGACATGTCAACCAATTCAAGAGCAACATGTTACATCTTAGTTGGTGGTAGTATTTGTTTTTACATTAAGATATGAAAAATGTATTTATATCTGATTTAATTATAAATATATCTGTTTTTTATCTGGATTTAAATCAACCAAATGTCAGTATGGTTTACCGAAAAAACTGTTTAAAGAAGAAATTTCATGCTATGAGAAACAATATTTTGTGTGGTTAATTCAGTTAGAAATGAACTTTGGATTTTTTGGATATTCTTTTTAGAGGTCACCTGTTCGAGTTCTGCAAGGCAATTGGGGATTTTTCTGACTAAGAAAATGACACTAACATGATTCGGACTTGGGTGTGGGGTGGAATAAAAGCTTTGCAAACCAACTCTACCAAATAAAACTTGTTCTCATTGTAGTTTCAAAATACATACGGTGGCACACAACAAATTAATACGGTTGCACCGTTCACGAAACCTAAATTTTTTACCCTTCAATGGAGAAACGATACGGTGACACTTAACTAGGTCCGCCTATGTATGTGATACGAGTGTTCTTGTATTTTCATAAAATGTTTGTGTTTCCGTTTGAACCAACCTCTGTATGTTACATAAAAAATTATAATTAATATTCAGTCAGTGGTGTTCATCGGTTGAAATTCAATGGATTTAGGTGGATCTGATCTAATCATCCATTGAATGCTGGATTTTGTCATCCGATCCAATCCAACTAACATTAGACATCTAATCCAATCCAATGGATGATTGGAGATATCGGTTCAATCAATTGGATACTACTATTGGTTATCCATTTGTACCAGATTGAATTCATTTAATGTTCTGATCCAATTTTCAACCAATTATTTAATATATTTCCTTTAAGTTATTAAAAAATAATGCACATAAATATCAATTAAAAAACTATATCATAAAATGTTAATAATTATATATACTTATTTATTGGATGGTAGTTGTATGATAATTGAATGGTCATTGGATGATCATCGGATTGGGTCTGTTTGATTTTATTGAATGCTGGACTAACATCTAAAAACCGACCAATTCAATTTGAATATTGAAATTTTCAATCTGATACCCTCCATAGCATCGGGTGACCAAGTATGCGATTGCAGATTTCCAATTACAATTGGATATCATAAATCTAAGAGCATCTTCAGCAGATTCTCCAAAATGGAGAAAGTGGAAATTTTGATATAATATTTTGCTTCAACAGTTTTTCATAACTATTTTCAAAATGAAGAAAGTAGGAGAGAGAATGATTTTTTTTCCTCCAAATACGTAGAACACCCAAAAAATAAATACCAAGTGAGACCATCAATAGAAAACTTTGAAAATAAATATTCAAATATAAAAATAATATTTTTAACAGATGAATGAAATATTTTAATATTATAATCAATGTTGGATTTTCCAGAACAGGAAATCTAGAAATGAATGCAATTACATTTTGAAGATTTTGATTTTTGATACTCCATTTTTGAAGAAATTTAAGAAAATCTGTTAAAAATACTTTAATTAGATTGACCAATTTAAACTAAATCAGATGACTTTTTACACATAATTATGTGTAATTATACAATCCTAAATGCTATCAACGACTTGGGATCATGTAAGACCTACTTGTATTCGTGAAACCACTTTTTTACACTTGAAACTTCACAGCAAAAACACTATGAAGGTTAGCAAAACTCTGTAAAGGTAACATTTACAATGTTTTTATTGTGAAAGTTCGGTTTTTTTACCTTTACAGCATTTTGCTACAAAATTTCAAATGTACAAAAATATTTGAGACGAATATCACGAAAACGAAAACGAAAACAAACCGATCTGCCGTCCAAACCCAACCCTGTTATCAACAATAAGCGCGTCAATACAAAAATTGGAGATCTTGGAACAACAGATAACAGCTGGACGTTTCCGTTACTTCCCATGATCACCCAGGACTTTGTTAAGACCACATTGTCGACAAAACCACCTTTACTTTCGGTTTAAGCAAAATCCCAAATTCTCCCTTTTCACCTTCCATTCTCCCAATAAAATTCACGCTTTCTTCCATTGTTTTTCGCTCCGGAGACACGGTGGTGGTGATCGCCGGCGACGGAGAAGACAAAGGAGTTACCATGGGGCAACAGTCGTTGATCTACAGTTTTGTTGCGAGAGGGACGGTGATCCTTGCTGAATACACGGAATTCACCGGCAATTTCACCAATATCGCTGCTCAGTGTCTCCAGAAACTTCCTGCTACCAATAACAAGTTTACATACTCTTGCGATGGTCATACGTTTAACTATCTCGTTGAAGATGGATTTAGTAAGTTTTATCTGATCTAAACAAGTTGTTTTTAGATTGCGAAATGTCGGTTGATCAATTTGATTGTTTTTTTGATGTTGTTAGATTACGTGTTCGTGAGATTTGAGTTATTTTTTTTCAGATTTACTGATTTAATATAATGATTTATGGCGATTAGTTTTTGATTGGGGAATAGGGATCATAGTTATTGTGTTATCATTTTGAAGTTGCTTTTGGCGATTAGAGTAGCATGATGACCGTTTCTACTTTAATCTACTTGTTGATTGCCATTAGAGATTCTCCAAAATGAGAATCAAAAGTCAAAATGTTCTAAAAGAAATACAATTAATCATATTATTAAAATATGTAATGTAGTTAATAAAATATTATTTCTTAAAGATTTTCGTTGTTAGGAAGAATAAAACATCATATCTTTCTACTAAAAGCAATCATTTTTTTAAGAGCTCTTCGAATTTGGAGAATTCACCCTTTTCTTTCCTATTTTCTTCATTTTGGAGTATCAGTTGGAGCAAAAACCTAGCCAAAATTCTCAAAAATCTTCATTGTAGAGGATCTGTTGGAGATGCTCTTAGAGTCCTATGATGATTGTTGCTAGTTTGCTTTGTTTGTTGTTGATTTACTTGATTTCTGAGATGTTTTGCTATTCGATTACTTCTCTTGTGTAATGCATCATTGCTCTTTAGCTAACTTGACATGTGGAGTCCCTATGCATCTGTTCTATGCTACATGTATGATGAATATGAGCGGTATAATACGGTAAACATGAGTCAGTTTAAGTTGCTACACAAACTCCAAAAGTAGAGGTGGATCTTTGTCGTTATTTGTGCTATTAAGTGCTCAAGATTGTCCTCATTATGGTTTTAGATCAAAGTCTGCTATAGGTTCTTGTATAGTATCATACTTTATGATATGAACTGATAAATAGTCAAGACTATGCGAGTTTAGAGTCTAGATTGAAATGTCATTGACTAGTTGACCTGCAAATGATAGTCAAATTCAGATGCTATGTAAATGGTGTAAGGCATTATGATTTCATGATATATCTTTTAATTTTTCTGTATTTATTTAATTAAAGTATGATATTCTGGCCTATTGGGTGTTAGGAAGGATGAGTACAGGTGTGTGTATGGGTGGTTGAGTGTGGCCTTCTTTGAAATTGCCAAACATTTGGGTGTGGTATGTTATGTAGGGGCAGGTCACTTGCAAACTTAAAATCCGTTGTGAACCATAGAGACAAAGGAGAGCGCGCCACGTGTCTTTCATGGGATATTCATCATGAATGGTGTAAAAACTTCATGTTCATTATTCATAATGAATGGAGACACGTGTCGCACTCTCCTTTGTTCCCCGGTTCTCAATGGAAAACAGGTTTGCAACTAAACTTTCTTTTATGTTATGTAACATTTATTGTGTTAATAAAGTAAAAGATAAAGTAGCAAAGAAAAAGCACAAAAATATTCAAACCCATACCATATTCCATCAAATCACCTTTAGTAAGAAAAGGAACACCACAATTAAAGCAGTAATAATCACTAATTCACCATCATGATATAAATAAAACATAGGAAGCTGGCCATTATCATGATAATTGAAGTAATTTCAATCATCATCACCACCATTAGTGAAGTTATGAATGATAAGCTGGTTCATTATGTTTACATATTATACTGCTCATATGCATCATATTTGTTGTAGCATAGAATAGATGCATAGGGACTCCACGTATCGAGTTAGCTAAAGAACTATATGCATTATATAGAGGTGGTTCAAAATACAAATCATGTAATTCTTACAGACCATACGACCAATGTTGTCCATCTAGTCTAATAAATATCTGATTCCATTTTGTTTCCTAATCTAAAGCCACGATCATAATAAATGAACCTTATCATCTTCCATATATATCTCAATTATAATTAATGGATCATGATAATTGTCCATAAATATCTCAATTGTTTCATAATATAAATAATGATTATGGTTTGCATGGTTTGTACTTGGAACCTCCTCTATATAAGAGAAACAATTATATAGCATACATCTAGAAATCAAGTAAATCAACAACAAACAGATTAAACTAGCAACGATCATCATACGACTCTAATCGCCAAAAGGAACTTCAAATTGAGAACATAATAAGTAGGAACTTCAAAATTGTTGCGAATATACATCAATCTTCTCTTTGGAATATAATGGTTCTATTTGTTTCACCTATATATCAACTAACTTTTAACTTATGAAATTATGAAGCATACTGTGTGGTTGCTGTCGAAGCAATTGGTCGTCAGATTCCGATTGCTTTTCTCGAGCGAATCAAGGACGAATTTACCAAGAAATACAGTGGAGGGAAAGCTGCAACTGCTGTTGCCAATAGTCTCAATAAGGAATTTGGGTAATCTCACCAGCTATTTTGATTCCCTGTCTTCTTTTACATCCTTCAAGCTTTGTAAGATCTTCTCCAATGGAGTGACTTATAAGAACTCCTGTTTTGCACTTCTTTTGTCACATCATCGTCAACTCAGCAAATTAAGAACTACCATAAAACTCCATAATAGTAATGACTAATAAGAAGCTCTTTTGTGGGTCCCATGTATTGGTTCAACATTAATAATGTGGATATAAAAATAAAAATATATATAAAAACTAATAAAATGTCATTTCACAGAAGAACTCCTAAAATGTGGGTGACTAATAAGAACCCTCTCCAATGGTAGTTCTTATAATCCAGTACACTTTTTGCTTATTAAGAACCTCTCATTCGAGATGCTCTAATTGTTCCATTTTCTAATATCAGTTCCAAGCTGAAGGAGCAGATGCAGCATTGTGTGGACCATCCCGAAGAGATCAGCAAGCTATCAAAGGTGAAAGCCCAAGTTTCAGAAGTCAAAGGTGTGATGATGGAAAACATTGAGAAGGTGAGTCATGATAGATTTTTCAAGTTGAATGTATAAATTATATTTTGGAGCTTTTTTATGCAAGCTTTTATGGTTGTGTTGTTGATCTTGTAATGGACACTATTAGGTTCTTGACCGTGGAGAGAAGATCGAGCTTCTGGTTGATAAAACGGAGAACCTTCACTCTCAAGTAAGTCGATTAAACTACAAACTTCACATCAAATATGTTAAGAGTCCCATATTGGCTAGAATTGGACCATTTATCTCCAATATATATTGGAACCTTCTTTCTCTTATCAATGGCTAGCTCTTTTCGAGAGTAATCTGATCGGGTTCCACATGTTCTCACATTGTATTGGAACCATGGTGTACCACTCTAGGGACAAGGGCAATCTGTGTCCGTTTAGTCCCTTTTTGACACTTTGGGATAATTTGTGTTCGTATAGCTTCTGTTGGAGGGGGCATGTTGGAGTCCCTTATTGGCCAAGACTTGGACCATTTCTCTCAAATATATGTTGGAACCTTCCTTCTCTCCTCCAGGGATGACTCTTTTGGAAAGTAAGTCGATGAGGTTCCACATGTTCTCACATTGTATATGATCTACCACTCTAGGGACTCGGACAATCCATGTCCGTCTAGCCGCCCTTTTGACACTCTTGGACAATTTGTACCCGTTTAACTTCTGTTGGAGGGTCTGTATTGGAGTTCGCTAGACTTTGGACAATTTCTCCCCGATATGTGTGTGTGTGTGTCGGAACCTCTCTTTTCTCCTGGAGGGCAGAGTAATATGATGTGGATTGTCGGAACCTCTCTTTTCTCCTGGAGGGCAGAGTAATATGATGTGGATTGTCGGAAATAGAAGGGTTTAATTGAAGGATGGGAATGTTGCAGGCACAAGGTTTTAGGACAGCGGGAACACAGTTGAGAAGGAAGATGTGGTTTCAGAATATGAAGATAAAACTGATAGTTTTAGGAATCTTGATTGCACTCATCCTCATCATAGTTGTAGCTGCTTGTGGTGGCTTTAAATGTGGCAAGTGAAGTTTATGTTTTGTTTTTGGTTGACCCATATATTGTGAGTGAGACGTGGCTTCTGCCTTTTAAAGTATTTTTGATACATATATACATATATATATATATATGTATATGTACATGTACATGTGTGTATATTTGTATTAGGAAACCGTTCGATTCCAGATGCCCTGTGTTTTCTCTTTGGCCAATTCTTCAGGTCCGATTGGTTTATTGGACTGGATTGGATTTGGAATTGAATTTCATAGATTTGAAATCCCACGGGGTGGTTGGTATTTCACGGGATTTCATAGAATTTGTATGTAATAATGTTTTTAAAATATGTTAAAAATATTTGTTTGTAATAATCCATTAATAAAAAAGTGATTCAATTATTTATAAAGAATGAAATTCGATTTTATTTCAACTTCTACAAACCAAACACACCAAAGGTTTTAAATCCTTTCAAATCTAAATCTTTCAACGAAATCCAAATTCTCAAAACCATTCGAGGGGTAAGGGGGTGCTTGGTTTGTGGGATTTGGAATTGGATTTTTATTCTAATCCATATTTGGTTTAAAGGAAAGTCTGGAATTGAAATCCCACCGACATTGGATTTAGAAATCAAATAGGGGTAGTTGATATTATTGAAATCCCACTAACATTAGGCTTAAAAATCTCATAGGAGTAGTTGGTATTTCACAAGATTTCGTAACATTTGTTTGTAATAATGTTTAAATTATGATGGAAACATTCGTTTTGTAAAGAATGAAATTAAACCAACGGTTTCAAATCCTTCTGATTCCTAATCATTCAACGATATCCAAATGGTTAGAGTTGGATGGGATTTATTTATTAGTTCCACATTAAATTTTTATTAACAATTCATCTAAATTATGCTTTAAAACATACATCTCAAACATAAAAACCAACTAAAACTCATATCTTGATAGAATAATTAAACAACTTATTATCAAAAATTTATACAAATACTATTTTATTTATTTCACATATTTTAAAAACAAGAAAATAATAAATAAAAAATTAATATTTTAACAAGCTAATTGGTCTCTAAAATTTTCTATTTGTTCAAATATGGGAAGCCTTTTTGATCTATTGGGGGCCCATACATTCATCAACTTTTCAAGCCCATTAACAAAGTCATCATCTAAGTCCAGTCCAGGGAGGTCCGGCAACAACCCCGCCGGTGGCCGCCACATTTCCGCCTCCGTCAACAGTTCCCGAGCCCTGTTGATGGTCCTGATGTCTTCAGCTCCTGGAAGCTCACGGTTGACGACATTTCTAAGGACCGAACGGGCTTCGTCATATCGGGCCTGCTTCATTAGACAAAGGCCCAAATTACAGGCCTTATTTGCATCTGGGTCAATCATTTGGGCTTTCTTGTAGACCACCTCTGCTGCCATGAAGTTGGATTTTTGCATGTAGGCCCAGCCCAAGTTCCCCTATTTTACCCCAAAAAGAACATAATGGGCCTCAGTTTCAAATAAGCATTTAAAATTTAAAATTTGTTTGATTGAGACGGAAACGAAAGAATGAAAATGGAAATAAATTTTTATTTCTCTCAATTTCATTGGGAATGAACTTATTATATTATATAGAGTAAATTACGTTTTTGTTCCTGTGGTTTGTTGAAAATTGCTGATTTTGTCGTGTGGTTTTAAAATCTTGGTTTTCATCCCTACGGTTTGCACATCTTTGCTACTTTTGTCCTTATATTTTAAACTCTAATGTTGTTTTCGTTCCTATGGTTTACAATTTATTGCTTTGTTAGTCCCTCGTATTTAAAAGTAAGAATTAGCATCGTGGACGAAAATAACAATGATTTACAGACCATAGGGACGAAAACCAAAATTTCAAAACTACAGGGATGAAATCAACGAGTTTTAACAAACGACAGGGATGAAAAATGTAATTTACTTATATTATGTAAAACCAAACACTTTCTCTCCGTGCTTAAAGGGTGTTTAGGATTGCTTATAAGAACAACTCATTGACTTATTTTGGTGTAGCACTGGTAATAAGCACTTTTGAGTGTTTGGATAAACAACTACCGGTAATAAGAAGTTTTTGAAGAAGCTAAATTTTTTTAACTTATAATACGATGATAAACATTTTTGTAGAAAAACATAAGTTGTTTCAAATAAGCAATCACAAACACCCCATTACTATTTAATATCTATAATCCTACAATTATCAATTTATCATGGACGAGTTAAATCGAGGTATCCCGGGATAAGGTGGGTGGGGCCATATTTGAACCCCATAAACTCGACTCTATATAATCAAACAGTGTGTTGTTATTGTTGTATTAGAGCCAAATGAGTCCAATTTCGATATGGTATGAACAACTGGTAAAACAAACTAATACAGTCTTAGAAGTAATAAGAAAAATACCAGAATCCTGGACGTTTCTTGTTTGACCGAGACTTGGAACTTCTTGCCATGAGATCGAGCAGTCTTTGTTGGTCTTCCGTTAAAAGCTTCTCCTCTGTAAATCATCCTAAGCTTTTGCTTTAACAACCCTATTTGTTCATCCACTTTCCCACATTTCTGTTGAATAAACATTCAATCACATAAGTTTTACGATGAATTTTGTCTAAACTCGATCTTTTCTTTCTATTGATTGACATGTTGAAATAGACACGGATCATTATACATGTATGTATGTATGTATGTATGTAAAAACCTTTTCCACTTTCTGTAACATTTTAGAGATTGATTCAAAAAAGTACACATAGAAGTTGTGTATATATGAGATGGGTTTGCATGGAACCCACTCATATATAAATATATATATATATAGAGAGAGAGAGAAAGGGGGAAGGATCATGCGAGAAGTTAAACATTTTACGAGAATGCAAGAAGTTTCAATATCAAATATAATAACATTCTTTTGGGTGTGTTTAATCATATATGATTAAGTTTGTGTATGGTACGTGTAATCATATATGATATTGAAACTTCTCACATTTTCACAAAATGTTTAGCTTCTCATTTCAACGTACCCATATATATATATATATATATATATATATTGAGAGAGATAGAGAGAAAGAGTTGGATTCCATTGAGAAAGAGAGTTAAGGTGAGAAGCATAAAAATGGATCTCCACATTTGGATGTACTGATATGCATAGGATCAATCCCCGTATCAAGCAAGATTCATGGGTGGGTTTAAGATCAAAGGTGATCAGGGGTCTAGATCCTTTTTTTACACTTCTCACCTTAACTCTCCTTCTCACAAGATCATTCATATATGTATGTGTATATATATATATATATATATGCATGTACGTTAAAGTTTCAAATGAATGCTATCCAGTGCCATGTTTCCAGTACTGATACTCCTATAATGCAGTATCTATCAAATTAACAAAGCTTTTGCAAGGAATCCATTTGTGTGTATATGTAGGGGCATATGTATATATATATATATATAGATATAGATATAGATATAGATATAGATATAGATATAGATATAGATAGATAGCAAATTTCAAATACAACCCCAATATTTGTTACAAACTTGAGCAAACCAATCCAAATCATACAATAAGTTTGACTTTTAAATTATGATTCATATTGTTTTACATGTTTTGTTCTTGTTTGTATTTATATCTGTGTGTGTGTGTGTTTCTATGTGAAACATATATTGTTGTTTCTTTTTTACACGCAAAACAGTCACAAAAGTTTCATATATGAAACAACACGTTATAAACACTACATGTTCACACGTGTTAGCTTCATACATGAACCCGTTTATAGATTTATAACAAATATTGAGTTTGTATTTAATATGTCATATATACATATATATATAGAGAGAGAGAGAGAGAGAGAGAGTTGGGTTCCCGTGAGACCAGCTTGTTTTATGAGACCATTTTTTTACACTTGAAATTTCATAGTAAAACGCTATGAAGATAAAAAAAAGCCGAACTTTCACAACAAAAACACTGTCAAGGTCATTTTCACAACGTTTTGCTGTGAAGTTTCAAGTGTAGAAAGGTAACCTCACAGGTCTCACAAAAACAAGTTGGTCTCACGTGATATAAAGTGAGTAATGAGTAGGATGTGTGGAGAGGAGATACCTTAAACAAATCAAGGAGGACATTATCAAGAGATTCTTGGGCAGTTTTGGGACAGAGTCCTCTAAAAGACTTGACAGCTTCAATGGCTTCTTCAGTTCTGTCCAATTGCTTCATGACAACTGCCATGTCTTTTAAGGCACTCTCTACTCTATCTCCTGCATTTATTGCCTTCCAAAACCATACTATTGCACCCTCTTGATCCCTTTCCACAAGCTGCATGCATATACATACACCTTTTTATATCTATCTATCTATTCAATTCATTCATTAATAATAAGATGATAACATGTAATCAAAAGGCCTTTAGCCCAACGGTATCGTAGCTTTTGGCCTTCTAAAGATTCAAACTCACCAAAGATGAAGAGGGTGTGTGAGTTTATTTGTTGTATTTGCCGTATATAAATATTATTATATATGGTATTGAAGTTAAACAAGTAACAAATCAGTGTATAAAAGATAGGATATAAACTTTGGTTTTGATCCCAGATGTTGAATATTTAAAAAACTTTCATGAAGTCAATATTTAAATAAGGTCATGTTGAATGAATAAGTAACGTATTTTTAAATTGATTTCAATTTTGAAAAACGTATTTTCAAAGCTTTCATTTTAATATTTAAGATGTAAAGTTTTAACGCTTAAGTACCCCGGTTGAAAACTAATTTAGATAAAAAAAAATCATGTCACTAACTACGTCAACAAATAATACTGAGTTGGATATCGTATCACTCGTCACATCATCATGATAACCGGTTAATGCTTAAACCGGTTATCTAAATACTTAAATGTTTAAAACTTTACATCTTAGATACCTAAATGGAAGTTTTGAAAGTACGTTACCCAGAATAGGAATCAAGTTAAAATATGTTACTTTTTCATGCAATTTGTCATTTAAATAAATCATATATCAAAAACTATAATAGTAAAAAATGCATAGTAATTACAGATCGTCCTTTGTCGATCTTGCTGACTTTCTTGTATAGTAATTTATCATACAAAAGTTTCTAATAAAATACGAATAGTTATTCGATCTTAACAGAAATTTTGTAATCCAAAACTCCAGTTTGGTCTGTAAAACATATCTGAGTTGGTTTGATCCATAGAAATTTTGTGGGATTGGTTATTTTTGTTGATTAACCTGGATATCCAACTTGTTGTGTGAGCCGACTAATCTCAGGACAACCATCTGCCTGCTTTGTAGGTATTCGGAAAGAATATATATAAAAGATGAATTGAAGAAAGAACCTGTGCATGTTTAGCTTTGACATAAGGACCATCACCATATGGAACTTTATGGATAATATGAAATTCATCATCTTCTTTCTTTCTTGAATTCACTTCCATACTCTCTCTCTCTCTCTCTACAAACCTCTCTTTCTCTCTCTAGACTACACACCTATTTCTATCTTTCTATCTCTTATCAATTATTATATATGTAGAATCACAGGAAGGATATATATATATATATATAT